AGCTTCAAGCAGGAGATTCAATAAAAATTAAAGTAATTGTAGAGAATGATCAAATAGCATCTCAATTCATTTACCATCTTAAACGCGTAGGCTTTGCTTGGTTTCTATAGCAGGAAAAATGAATGCTTTGCTGATATCTGTTGAGAACTGCCAGACGTTTATAAACATATCAAAGTTGTATTCAAATGATGAAAGGACTGATATGCTATTTTGTTATGCAAAATCAAATAGAAAGCCTCTTTTGGCAGGAAATATGTATGTTGAGCTATACCTGAATTGTGGTATTCCGAACATCTAAATGTTCAGACGATTAGAAAGAAATTTGAGAGACTATGGTGTATTTGACAGAAAGAAAACAAGAAAATATGTGGTTACTGGAAGTGTGAGGAATCAAATGAATGTTATGGGTAAGCAAACATAAAAATTTACACAGTAAAAACATCTTTTGTCCAGTTAAAAAAATTATGATAATCGAGATTGTTCTTCACGAGAACTATTAAGAGTATATATAAATGCTACAGGATATGCAAAGTTCATCACCTCAATGAAAGAGATTATAGGTGGAATAATACAAATGACCATTTACATAAGCAAACCAATTTTCAAGAAAGGTTCGGAATAAATGTTGAATTGTGGGAACAAACATCCTTGGCCCTTTATTTTACGATGATCATTTGAATATTGAAATGTATCTTAATTTTCTATTCTATGAATTCGATGGCTACTTAGATGAATTGTCACTGAATATCCGCCATGAAATACAATATTTTCAACAGGACGTTGCTCCTCTCTATAATGCAGCAATAGTAAGGGAACATTTATATGCAGTATTCCCAAGAAAATGAAATGGAAACAATGGACCAATTAACTGGCCAGCTCGATCCCCAGATTTTACTTCTTTAGATTTTTTTTCTGGGGATACATAAAGGACGAAGTTTTTTCAACACCAAGTACTGATATCGACCATCTCAAACAAAAAATAAGAGATGCATGTATCAGTATTACACCTAATATGCTAAAAAGTTGATACAGAAATTGTCTGGACCGACAACTTATGTGCCTTCAACAAAGAGGTCGTCAATTCGATCATTTAATGTAGATTGCCATGTAGCTTTTAATATTCTTTCATTATGTGAAACGTGACTTAAAAATGATGATACTAATTTTGTGTATATACATTATTAGGATCACTATTTAACTTGAATGAAATGAATAAAAACACTTTTGTCTAAATATCAGTGGTATGTAGACATCATCATCATCAAGGCTCTACTCAAACTGCAGTTTGAGCTATTGAGATTGGGTACTTACTTAATAATTTGTCTTAGTTTAACGGCGAAGTTATTTCAGAGAAGATATAGCAATCCTTCAGATCACCATATAAGTTTTCAAGTACTCGACTGAGCATTTTATACCATACCAGTCAATGTTCCAGTACAGGTACCTAATTGCTCACTGTAACTCACTGTGCTTAATTTTTCCATTTGGGGATGTGTTTGAAAAAAGTCTACTAGGAAACAACCCCAGCCACTACTGAAATTCCAGAATAAAGACTTTTACGAGTATTAAAAAAATGCCTCGAATGTTACAAAATGTGTTGGGGGAAACATTCGAGCGAGCTGAATATGTAGATATATGAACTTTGAAAATTTACTACTGTGAAATTTTCAATAAATTTGAATATTGTACTTTCAAATAATTCAGTTTTTGGACGAACGTTTTCCAATACGTTGAATCGGAAGAAGGGGTCCAGTGGTGTGGCCAGCTGGATCACCTGATCTCGCACTGAGGGACTTCTTTCTGTGAAGAAACCTGAAGTCGAAAGTGTACTCTACTAAGCCTACGAATCTACAAGATCTGCGACAGATAATTGTTCGGGAATGCCGATTGCTGACTCTGGACACCTTGAATAATGTACGGAACGCTTTCGAGAGTAGACTCTATTATTGTAATGGAACTAGGTGAAGGTCTATTTGAATAATTTATCCGTTAATTTTGTTCCCACTGATATTATTTGTTGTTGATTTCCTCATTAAAATGAACGACAGTGAATTTTCTGTTTTTTCTTAAATATAAAGTTCAGTATTTAATTTATCAATAACGAATGAACCAATTTTGAAAAAAATACAGAGGTTATAGAGGTACAAAAGACCTTTCAAATGATGTATCACTCGACCCCCCGTGCCATTAAAAAAAATAAGGGAGGTAGTTGTTGACCGCATGGGGTAAGATTTCCAAATCATAATTAGTTCCAATAGAAATAATAATTGACGTGCTCTTTGAAATTGTCGTACGTTTCTGACTTACAGGGGGTGTCAAGTTGTTGTTGGAACGCCCTGTATACATTAATTACCGTAAGTATTTTATGCATATTATAATTGCCCTTCGAGAAATGAATTCAAGCAACTCAACAAACCGTTGTTTTTATTTTGTATTAGGGAGATATCTCAGAATCAAAATTGATAGTCGTGAACATACTTTTGTTGGAGTGAATTGTATTCGAAGTGTTCGGATAGGTTTCTGCGGCCAGTAGTATGTTGTCGTTGAGTTCGGGTTGAATCGCGTCTTAGAGTTTTTCATTCGACGTGTCGGCTCCCATTTTGAAGCAATTTTCAATAATTTGATGTGACTTGACGGCAGGGGCTCAATCTGTCTATTCCTCAGGTCTTGTCATGAGTTCTCTCTAAGGTCTCCCTATATTGAACAGTTCCATCTACCTTAGAGAGAACTATGAGAAGATCTGGGGAGTAGGCAGATTGAGGCCCCGGCGTCAAGTCACATCAAATTCTTGCAGCTTGACTGCATTAACCTGTCTCGATTTCATATCATTTCTGATGACATTCCAGGAAAGCTTTCCAAATTTGTTGTCGGTTGATTGGTCAATCCACCAACACTGACATAAAAACTTGGAAAGTTGATTCGGGGATCACACCAATAGGTGGTTCCACTTATGTCTCGCTTGCGTTTACGCAGTTATTTTTTATCAAGTACTGTTCTTGGTTATTCACATTTTGTCTTTATGAATACTTCGTCACATCCAAGCGCTTTCTGATTATTTATCTCACCAATCTATATAGTTGGTGTGATTTGATCCCACCTATATTATTCTTTATGCCAAAAATTATTTACTGTTTTTTGTTGATACATTCCAATGACACTGTCGGCATCTATGGTATTTAAGAACTATTTTTTTCTAATTTTCCTCTTCAAAATTAAAAAACTTCAATATAACACCAAATGCCAGTAGCGCAAAAAAGAATTCCCTTTTGCAACACGCATTAGATGTTAACGACTCATATTGGCTTATGACATCATTGAATTTGGGCATGTTTCTTTGAATTTCTATCATTCCTATTACGTATTAAAATTGTGAAAGTGAAAAGGATTATGTTTTTCCATAAAAAAATCTTGTCTGTGGTCTATCGTATACTATTGCAATGTTATCTTAGATACTAGGTATGTTTTTCTAATATTACATCTCAGTTATGGTAACACCGAATTGAACATTTTTCATTCAATACTTATACTAAATAAGAGATACATATTTTCACCACTGGTCTTCTCATGTGCCTGTTTTCGTTTTGATGTCTACCACTTTAACTTTTCCAATTGATCCTAGTTAGCTTTCAACAATTCTTTCCCTTTGCCAGTTATTTCGTGGAAGTTAGTGCATTTCAACAGTTGGAACTTCCATTGTCTAATATGATATAAATTGATTTGAAATCCCTGAAAGAATCTGTAAAAAAATTGAAAAGATTAGCTGAAAAAACAATTTTATTAACCAAAAAACTGAATATACAATGAAATAACATACAAGCAACAATCAAAAAAACCAACAAAAATTGAACTACTAATACGAGCTGAAAAAATTTAAAAATAATTAACAAGAAATGAAATTTAAAAATATAAAATTCAAAGATTCCAAACCAAGTTACTTCACGACGTTTCGATTGTTAGTATCCGCAATCGTCTTCGGGTGATAGCTGGACTTATTCCTTCGATATCTGAATATTTATAGGTCATTCGACTGCTTTCACCTATCATCTCTTTCCTCTCTTCGCTTCATCGGTTTTTGTAGGGAGCTGACCGTTTAGCGGGAGTTGGTCCCTTACCCTTTTCGCTGACGTTTGGTCGAATAAGTCCAGTTATCACCCGAAGACAATTGTGGATACCAACAATCAAAACATCGTGAAGTAACTTGTTTTGTAATTTTCATATCTTATTAATAATTTTCTAATTTTTTTAGCTCGTGTTAATAGTTCATTTTTCATTATTTTTTTTTGGTTGTTGCTTGTATGTTATTTCATTGTAATTTCAGTTTTTTGCTTAATAAAATTGTTTTTTCAGCTAATCTTTTTAATTTTTTTTACAGATTCTTTCAGGGATTTCAAATCAATTTATATCATATTAGACAATGGAAGTCCGAACTGATGAAATGCACCACGAAACATTGTCAACCACCTTCAAACAAACGTGGAAGTTAGTGTTGTACATTAAAATGAAGATTTCATATTCTTGGATATTTCTTGAATCTATGAACCACTCAGTCCTTTTCGTTGAGGTGGGAAGGTATTCTCTCACCCATATCTTTCAAAAGTGTTGCTGATTTCTGACATATTCTCCACTAGTGTTTCAAATTTCTCAAATCTTCATTATCATCAAAATCAGTCATTAGCTTCTCTATACTCGACGAATCCATTAAGAAATGGATAGGCGTAAGGCTTCTGGATCATCAAAATTAGATGACACATATGTTAACGGTCGGCTATTAACCGTGTCTTCTGCTTCCATTAGGTA